TAGTTGGCTCATAAGCCATAGCAGTGGTGGCATCACTCAATTATCTTAGAGAAAATGTGAGTTATTTCATCAAACACACCTAATTGTTTATACTAGGAAATGAGATGTGTTTATTTTTCGAATAGCTAGATGAGCTTTCAAAATTTTCTCATTCTAAAATACTTATTTACCTACTTACACAGACCTTCATTTTTTTTTAATTGCAAATCGTTGATTATGAGGCCACAATGGATGTTAAAGTAGCCACTGCAAGTAAAATATTCAATTTGGCGATGGATTAGTTAATTAATTCTAGCCTTTTCATAAAATTCTTATATGATAATGAGGTACATATCATATTCTCTCATCATTGTTTCAATAATAAAATAATCATAGTGTGTAAACTACTTTTGAATTTTTTTGTAAGTGGGAGCTGGGGAAGTTCAAAATGTATGGCTTTAAGTAACTTATTCCAATCCTTCAGGTTCATAATTATATGATTTTAACTATGTTTTTGAATTTTATAATTTTAACTATGCTTAACAAAAAAAAACTACTGTTTTTTTTAATTATATAATTTCAATCATGTATATTGTCTATGAAGAGCAATTAATATCAATTTTATTAAAACCAAACCAAAATAGTAGAAATAAACTATTGATTTGATTAATTCTGTTGCACATTTTGTTTGGTCAGTTTGAATAAGTTTTTAAAATAAGAAAACCAATTGGTTTTACAAATTTGTAATCCAAACTGTCCAAATAAATCAAATGCACACCCTTGAAGATTAACTTAATGATGATAGATTAGTTAAAAAGCCTCCTCATTTTTTTATCATTTAAAATAAGCTACTTTGGCCTATCGTTTAGCTAAATATAACTAGTAAGGAATAAATTTTTGTCTCCTTTTTGTCTCAACAACATTATATGCAACTTCATCTAAGCAAAATTTTTATGACCATGTTTTTTAATCTTTTTTTGCACTCATTGTAATTCATAATAGATTTATCAATGATTTACTTTGTATCCTATAATCATTTTATGACCATTAAATGTTTATATGGTCATGTAATTTCTCTTTATGGTTATGCGAGATTAAATTTGTTTTGTAGTAGGCTCATGAGCCATAGCAGTGGTGGCATCACTCAATTATCTTAGAGAAAATGTGAGTTATTTCATCAAACACACCTAATTGTTTATACTAGGAAATGAGATGTGTTTATTTTTCGAATAGCTAGATGAGCTTTCAAAATTTTCTCATTCTAAAATACTTATTTACCTACTTACACAGACCTTCATTTTTTTTTAATTGCAAATCGTTGATTATGAGGCCACAATGGATGTTAAAGTAGCCACTGCAAGTAAAATATTCAATTTGGCGATGGATTAGTTAATTAATTCTAGCCTTTTCATAAAATTCTTATATGATAATGAGGTATATATCATATTTTCTCATTATTGTTTCAATAATAAAATAATCATAGTATGTAAACTACTTTTGAATTTTTTTGTAAGTGAGAGCTGGGGAAGTTCAAAATGTATGGCTTTAAGTAACTTATTCCAATCCTTCAGGTACATAATTATATGATTTTAACTATGTTTTTAAATTTTATAATTTTAACTACGCTTAACAAAAAAATTAAAAAACTACTGTTTTTTTATTATATAATTTCAATCATGTATATTGTCTATGAAGAGCAATTAATATTAATATTAGAGCAATTAATATCAATTTTATTAAAACCAAACCAAAATAGTAGAAATAAACTATTGATTTGATTAATTCTGTTGCACATTTTGTTTGGTCAGTTTGAATAAGTTTTTAAAATAAGAAAACCAATTGGTTTTATAAATAAGAAAACCAATTGGTTTTATAAATTTGTAATCCAAACTGTCCAAATAAATCGAATGCACACCCCTTGGAGATTAACTTAATGATGATAGATTAGTTAAAAAGCCTCCTCATTTTTTTATCATTCAAAATAAGCTACTTTGGCCTATCGTTTAGCTAAATATAACTAGTAAGGAATAACTTTTTGTCTCAACAGCATTATATGCAACTTCATCTAAGCAAAATGACTTACTTTTAATATCATAAGTATCAATACTAAAGAACAAGGATGGACCTTAAGCGTTCAACAAATTTTAATACAAATAACTATTGAATAGAATTCCAATGAAATATAAAGAAAAATTTTTTCGCCATTACGTAATTATCAATTAAAATAAATGGAAACCATATAAATAAAATGACTTGTTTCCTTGAACCCCTAAAATGATATTGGTGCATTTGATCCAAGTCAAACGATTACAATTTGCTTTGATGTTAAAAAAATCTAATATAGTAAGGAAATTAATTGAAAAGTACATCTGTCAAAGTAAGATAGAAATGTTAACAGTAAAGAAAAAAAATTATAGTATAGGTATATTGAAATTGCTTATTACATTAAAGGTTGCTGAGTGACCGAACAAATTAAATCCAGGAAGCGTATATCAAGAATCAAAATAGATTACATATCTTTTATACTGGTTAGAGATGCTTATTAGAAACATTGCATTTTGGCTGTGTTATTTGCAAATATCATAGTTATAATCGCTGAGGTCAATTCATAGGTGAAAAGTATAGAAAAACAGATTAAAAAAAAACAATAGTAATAAAATAGAAGAGAAGGACCAAAATATTAATAGGACGAAGATTGAGTACATGATCATCGGATTGATGGATGTGAAATTAGAATTATCATTCAATATTGCCACAAAATAAAAATGAATTGGGATATTATCAAAGATTTAGAATATGGATCGTGTTGTGATTTCAGAATTAAAGTTGAGTGGTTAATGAATTGAAGCAACTTAAAAATATTGTGCAATAAGAAAATCGTGAAGGATTAACAGTAGATTTTACTAAACTACAATTAAATCAATTGTTCTATAAACATTTGAATGGTTTAACAATGGAGAAATCATTAATAGCCAAGTTTAAGGAGTAAAAAAATAAATAAATGAAATGGATAGGTGCTAATTCTGGGAAGGATAGATTGAGTTGATAAAAACGGTTACAATCCTATTGAATTTAAGTTGAAAAATTAGATTTAGAGTGACTGACATATAGAACCAAGAGTAGATTATGCACTGAATAACAGATTTGTGACCGCTTCGATTCCTTTTGGTTTGCTAATTAAAAACTAGTATTTTCTAGGTTAACATAATTGAACTATACCATATTATTCACCAAACCAACAAAGAGTTGTTCTCCAATGAGTTTTCAAGAGGTGACACCATTGAATCATCTGATGCAAGAAATGGTCATGCAATAAAAGAACTGGCACTTTGAATAATCCTTAAGAGCACCAAAAAAAAAAGTTCGCTTTGTTGCTAAGCATCTTCAAACTTCATATACCGATGAAATCTTTGTAATACAGATCAATGATGGATTACAAAACCATGATAGTAGTGGCAGCACAAAGTTAATCCATAGTAGCTATTGAAGCAAACTGATCTAAAGTAGCACTATTCTATTTAGATAGTATCAAGTGAACCAACAAAAAGTTGGAGAACATCAATTAAAAGTCTTGAAATATTAAAAATATATGCACGAAATATTGTCTCATGTTTAACAACATTGTCAAGCCTGAGCACTTTATCAAGCATTGGCCTTGGATTAACCAAAAATAATATGAAAGAATCAACTTCAACGACAATAGTAAAATAAGATAAGTCAAAACAAAAAAATTGAAAAAGAGTTACCGAAATTTTTATTTAAATTCATATGGCATCTTTAAGAATTGTTTATTCTTCACTTTTAAATTGTTCGCTTTTCCAAACTTATTTTATCTTTAATCTAGTTTTTCCCCCTTTTTCCTTTGGTCATTTTATCTTCCGTAAAGAGAGAAGTTTTAACTAAGCGTGCAAAGTTGAGCAAAGGCAAGGCAATGATTGGATTAAGGAAATCATATATGAAAGGGGAAAATCAATAAATTATAAGGCATTTACAAAACTTATAAATATAAAAAAAAGTTTACACGTCGCTCTTCTACCGACTCAATGTAGAGAGAATGATGAAGAGTTGTGATATCAAATTGATGGAGGATAGATAAAAGAGGTTATAATAGGATAAAGGAAAATATGGACCTTGGTACACAAAACTTGGAGAGGGGAGTAAGAGAATTCAATGTATGCGACTTGGAGCGACCCTCGTACACAGCTAAAATCAAAAAAGAAAACACTCAACTTGCCTCACAAAATTTCATTCATCAAGTCAAAAGTTAATTGCCAAATACAAGCCATCAATCCGAAGTTACAAAAATAGGGTTACAAAGATAAGGCTAAATAATTTAAATTCAAATACAATTCTATCTAATAATCAAAATTTAAACCTACTATTTTCTGAAAATGATAATTCAATCAAATTTAAAATAGCATAAATATCATATAAAGTACAAAATTCATAAAAAAATGTCTACAAAAATCTTGAAAATTGGTTCAATTTGGGTGCTTCATTGCGCATTTCATTTCCATTTGGTAGGCCGAAGAAACAATAGTTTTTTGGGGACTACAGGGGTTTGATGTTGGAATATGCACATCTGGCTCTTCTGGTTAAAGCAAAAAATGTACTGTCATCATTTAAGAGATATACATCAATAGGATTTAAGAAAAAAAAAATACGAAGTGCAAAATTTTCCCAAATTGCTTATCAAATGTAGCAGGCACTTGTGCTGCATATAACAGCATAGCATCATCAATGAGCTGCTTCACCATAATGCCAAAAAAAAAACACACACACACACTCTGTCACACTCACACAGATGTTCAAATTCTCGGGAATGACTACTGAAAACCTAATCTTCGAACAAACAGTCCAAAAACAATTCACCTCGCCGACAGAACTTAACAGCATTCTGAAGGCAATCCGACAGAGTAACAACGGGATCCACGTAAATCAAATCAAAAGTACGCGATCCACATAAATCAATCAAAGCAAGCAAATAAAATAGTTTAAAAATCAAGATTAGAGACGAGTACTCCAAAGAGGGGTTCCGATGAGAACCGAGAATGTCTGCTCGCATCATCACCAGAGCTATTTGGCGGCGACGACAAGGGACGGATGGGTTGAAAATCATAACTGGGAAGGATCCCTTCCCTGTTCAGTAAGCCGACGCTGTCGCGCCGCTCTTGCTGAGTACTCATCAGATCGAAGAGTTCATCGCCGCCGCCTGCGCTAACGCCTCCGAGACCCGCCGGCGACCCGGAAAGCCCCATGATTTGTTTGTCCATAAACGGAGACGAGTTCATCGGAGGATCAGATGCAAAATCAACCACCAATTTCTGCAGTTTATGAGGCGCAGAGGAACTGCAGAGGAACTGCAGACGCGATATGGGAAACTGAAAATTCACGAAAGATCGTGCGCTGCTTCCTGAATAAGAAATATAAACTATTTATAGTGTTAGTCTTTTGGCTGAGGATACGCGAGGCTGGTCGAACCGACTAGCCAGGGACAACTTTCACTTGCAACAACATTAAGCTACAAAAAAATTAAAAAATAAAGGAAGATTCACGTACATACGCTTATGTATTTAGATATCTAATGCCTAAATTTTAATTTTTATTTATATGTCAGTATTCTATGCGTAAAAATATGTATCTCATTTTATAATAAATAAAATAATAATATTTTTTATGTGACATGAAACATTATGGTGGTATTAATATAAAAAGTAAAATTGAAGTTTCATATATGTAAATACATGAGAACTGGGTGGTATGTATATAAATGCCCCTAAAGTATATGCCTCATAATATACATAATTAAAAAATATATATGAATTCTCTCTCTCTCTCTCTCTCTCTCTATATATTATCAATATCTATATATATACACACACACACACACACACACACACACACACACACACACACACACACACACACACACACACACACACACACACACACACACACACACACACACACACACACACACACACACACACACACACACACACACACACACACACACACACACACACACACACCATATACTTTAAGACAGTCATCATGCACCGAGGAATATATTGGGATGTCTAATGGGCATCGAAGACCCTTTTATCCATAAAGGTCATTCAACAGGCTAGTTGTCGGGTACTTGATTTCGGATACCAGCTGTAGAGCTAACCTGTTAGGTTGATCTGCTAAGTTCATTATTGGATACTATTGGATCGACCTATCAGATTGATATGTCAGTCACCAGTTGAGTACCTACTTTTGATATGACCACTCGAGTTGGCCTTTTGAGCTCTCTTATTGAGTACCAACCATAGAACTCAAATGCACTATGGTATCACTAACAAGAAGAGGATGTATGTCTACATATATTTAGAAGCCCTCTAACACACAAATCAACACGTACTATTATCAGCATGTTGTGGACAAACATCATGCTATACTAAAATCATTTAAAATTCTTTTCGTGTATCCTAATATGGGGGAAAAGACAACTTAAACCATAAATAGTTATGATCTTTTGCCTTAAGGAGATGGGGTGATCTTTTTCTTTCTTTTCTCAGACCAGAAGATTAAGCTTTGCAACCATACATTCATTCTCTTCGACCACTTTTTTTACAGGCCTTTCATAAGTCGTGTGAGCCCACAAGCTATACAGGATCCAACTTCCAACTTTTGCACAAAGAAAAAAACAAAAAAGGTAAAAATTATTTGCACCGAAGAGTTTGTGATGCGACAGATCAATTAGTTGAAAGAACAGATGGTAATAGTAATAAAAGACATGAGAGCATGCCTCTAAAAACCACATTAGAACCCACTCTAAGAATCATATCAGGGTCTCAAGATACATGGCTCGTGGACAAAAATCACCTATAAAAAAGGTCAACAAATGCTCTCTCATCACTGCTTGAAGAGGAAGCTAATGAAACATGCATCCTGGAGGAAGAAGATCGTACGATTTCTGAGGAGGAAGTAGAATTGAGAGGAGATAATAGGAAATAAAGCAAAATTCATTAGAGAACATTGTCAAGAAAGTTAGCGGAAGCTGAAGCACTAAAAAAAATTTAAGATCCCAGCCTTGGAGATTTATAAGGGAAGAAGAAACTCAACTGATCTTTTAGCTTCATTAGAGTAAGTTATATGCTTATTATGTGTAAATGATGCTCTGAAGTGTTTACAATTCTTCATGATGTTGAAAGTATCAGCACTTCATCGTTTTAATAACTTATATGTGGGAGTCATTATACCTATTGGGGAGCTTAAACAAATGTAGTCAAGTTTACAAATATTTTGATGTTGCAAAAAATACCCTCACGTTCTTCTGAAGATTTTACAAGAACCTTCAAAAGAATTTTAAGAAGCTTCAACGCCAAATCCCAATAAGAGATTTTGGATGTGAGAGATCACAAATCAGTAGCATCACATGAAAAACTAGCCCAAGGAAGATGAGAGAGCCCATTCAGGTACACTGTTGTTCTTGGATCACCAAAACCTGTGATCAAACTTCTAGAGTTCATCAATTATCATATATTGGATGAAGAATATAATTCTTTGCTTAGTGATTCTAAAGCATAGAATCCAAAAGGTAGCTTCAGGAGATGGTAACTCTAGAGGCAAAAGAGAACGATGAGATCAATCAACCCTAAGGGATTTTTGAAATGTTCCATGAAGGCTAAATTGTTAACTATAATAAGAATATTATGTCGAAGACATATCAAAACAAGGTCAGAAAAAAAGTCTAAAACCACCTTGATATCCTCCATCAAAAGTCACTCAATTAAGATTATCTATTTTAAAGATCATTGAAGCTATCTAGAGTAACAAATTCCTCAAGGAGCTCATGTCAATGCTAGTGGGAGGTCACTTAAATGACCATAAGGATCATGGGCATGATATGAAAGAGTGAAAGAGTGTTAAAACCTTATAAGTCTGATCAAGGAGCCGATCAAAGCTAGAAAGTTCAAACAATTTGTTGCTTCAGATACAAATGCCATAAAATAAGGAAAGGTGCTCATTAAAGAAGAAAGTAATGAACACATCCTGATGAGAAGTGCACATCATAGAACAAGCTCCAACCATCCTAGGATGAGATGGACTTGAAGCTTCATGTTGATTCAGCATAAAGCGACTGAAGAATGAGAAATTTAATTGAATAACTCTTGAAAAGTCGAACACTTCACCCCATATTCTATCACTTTTACTTATATAGATTTTGCCCATTAGCAAAAACCACTACAATGAAACTATCACAATCATTTCCTTCATCACACAATACCAAATCAGAGGCATCCTTATTGTTGGCATCATTTTTGGCTTATTTTGGAACCACCTCTTAACAAAATGCTTTAAGATCTAAACCATTACTCGTTGGGACACAAAAAATCAAATTTCTTCAAAAATGGTTTAATGTTGTGGTGTCATTGTTCAACATTATGGTGCTAGGGCAGTGTCATGGCATCACTGCCCAATCTTGTGGCACGATAACAATAATAATTTTCTTAAAAAGCCACAGTGTTTCACGGCATAGTCGTGGTGCAAGTAGCAGCACTACGACACCACAAGTCAACTCTTATAGTCCCAAGGGCGGTGCTTAATTGGACAAGAATGTTATAGTCATATTAACAACACCTAGATGCCCTATGTCAATGCCTAGACACCACACTATCTCATTTGATACGTGTCAGCAAATTGTGGTAGAATCACTATCATTTTGGCTATTGTGGCATATTCCATATCAACAATACCTAAATTCCAATTACCATTGCCTAAACACTGTGCTAAATGATAAATTGTGCAAGTTGAGATGCAGTAGGACCATTCATGGGTTAACTAAAGTGACACTTTCTACATCATCAGTTTCACAGTTCCAGGATATAGCGCCATTGTACTGGACCAACTTTTGGCCCTTTAAAAGGGATAGCTTGAAGTTACCCCAAAGGTTAGATTTTCTTAATCTCAACCACCCCTTTTGATTATCTTGAGTGCAAACCAAGAGAGTAGAGGCTCTTTATTATTTTCTATTGTTCCTTCTTTCTATGATGAGCTTGTCTAACAATGGTAGAACTATGTAACTTATAGCAGTTGGGTGGAGCTACCAGCTCTTTAGAGCATTTTAACACTATAGAATTTCTCAATCTCATTGAATATGTCAAATTTATTATTTCCCACACATTTTAATTTTTAGAACATTTAGGATTTGTGTTAAATACTAAGTTTACACTAGAGACAACCCTTAGGTTAGGATCTTTTCCATTCCCTCCTCATTTTTAGTGACTAAGTAGTTTCCATCCATCTTATTTAGACTTGTTGCCATGAATTTTCATTACATATAGTGACTCTAACCCTTGTATTTTTAACTAGAACTATAACACCATTTCTTAGCATTATGACACGTACATTTGGCATGGGTGACAACACGATAACATTGCCTTGCAATGTTATGTCTCCATCCTTCTCGAGGTTGGTACCATGTTGTAATGTTTCTTACTAGCGCCATCTATTGGTTGTAATATCATAAAGCCTCAGTCTCACCAAACCTAGTGTTTGTTTGGCAAAGAGGTTTGGTATTGGTCTCAATATCGCGGTGCTTGGCCTAAGTCCCTTTTGAGCAAAGAGTTGCATCACTATTCTTAGCATCATGGACATAGGTTTTGCCTATTTTTTCCTAGTGTTATGGCTTTGTTAATGAACAACAATTTGATGTACTTATTTTAGGTATGTCTACTTTAATTTTAGAACTTGGTAAAGGCGCCAAAAACTTGACCCCCTTTCCATGCTGATAATATAATTTTATGATTTTATAGCGGCTACTCCTAGTGAAGTAGGTATTAAAATTTTTAATTGTTGATTTCAAAGCTTCACTATGATTGAAACGCAAGTGCACGTGTTGCTCAAGTAATATAGGATTTTCTTCTAAAACCCTAGTATCGATCCCACAAGGAAGGTGAAAACTCTTTTTATGGACTAAGTAAAACTTCACTTAAACTCTAAACAATTATTTAGGAAACGCAGTCACAAGTTTATGTGTAAAAGAAAGTAACTAATTTCTACTAATTCAGTTTAAAAACCTGAAGAAAATGCTAATTGCTTCTAACCTAACTTTACGTAGAACAGTTCAAATTATATGAAAATTCCCCTTGTAGTGAGATCATAATCAGTGTGGGAATCAAACGTTAAAAGGTTTAAATGTAGTATTGTGACAAATAGGAGCATACTCATTCTTTGCCCTTTTTCGAGTGCATAAAGAACATTGGCTAACCTAGGGTTAAGTTCCTAAATCCTTGGTTATGTTGGGTAGGTTCTAGTTTGTCACTTTATATTACCCACTATGCCCAAAAATTTTGGACTAACATAGCTTTAAGTTCCAAACTCTAGATCAAATTGGTTAAGGTTCTAGCCTGTCGCCCTAGAATCACTAATTTACA